CATTTTGAGAAATGCCACTAAGCCAAAAACTTTCCAAGCTTGTAATGACATTTTTGAAAAAACAAAAAATGTCAATATATTTTCTAAATTTTTAAAATGCAGTAAATAATTAAAAATAAATGAATTAAACTCAATATACACTACAGGAAAAAGCATATTTGGCGACTAAATTTCCTGACCAAAAAAATTTGGTCGCTGAAAGTATAGCTTTCAGCGACCAAAACATCATTAATTGCCGAAAGTAAAGCTTTTTGGCGACTAAACAATTTTAGTAGCCAAAAGTCTAGAATTGGTGACTAAAACTAAGTTTGGTCGTTGATTATATGGGTTTTAGTGACTAAAAAATTTTTAGTAGCCCAAAGTAAAGCTTTTTGGCGACTAAAAAAATTTAGTAGCCAAAAGTCTACAATTGGCAACTAAAAATAAGTTTGGTCGCTGATTATATGAATTTTACCGATTCAAAAAATTTTAGTAGCCAAAAGTTAAGCTTTTTGGTGCCAAAAAAAATTTTAGTAGCCAAAAGTCTACAATTGGCGACTAAAAAATAAGTTTAGTCGCCAAAAGTGGTCATTTTTAGTGCGGGAGAACTAAAATCCTAAGGCGGGAATAAAATTTTTTGGTAACCAAAATTTTGGTAGCTGAAAGTGCATCTTCGGCGACCAAATCCGATTTTGGTCGACAAAACTTAAGTTTTTTAGCAACTAAAAAACAATTAGTAGCCAAAAGTATAGAATTGGCGACTAAAAAATATTTTTAGTCCAAAAGTGGTCTTTTTTTTATTTTGGTAGTAAATAGTTTATTTTACATAAATTATGTTCAATAAAATAATTATGTTTATACATATACTTTTATATTAATATGGATGTATGTACTATATAAATAATATATGTTGCATATATAATCATGTGGTGGTATAGAGGTGTAGTGGGAGGAGTGTGGTGCAGAAGGTTTATGGTGCGGAAGGTTGGCGGTTCGAGTCTCTGCAAGAGCGGATCAAATTGTTCTACAACGAATTATCGTCATGAATGGCACTTGATAGCGTCACGAATAGTGCCTACCATGACATTAAGGTGTCATTGAAAGGTTTTAGTCTTAATGGTGTAATGACACTTACAAGTGTCACTAACTCTTTTTTTAATTGCGCTTGATAGTGCCACAAATAATATCTACCATGACATTAAAATGTCATTGAAAGTTTTCAACCATGATGGTGCAGTGGCACTTGCAAGTATCTACCGTGGCACTCGTATCTACCGTGGCACCGATAGAAGTGGCACTTGTTCAAAATGCCACAAGACCAAAAAATGTCATTAGAAGAATAGTTTTGTGGCACTTTCAAATGTCACTAAACTAAGAAAATGTTGTAGTGCGGTGACCCCGCTTGTCTCTATCTCTTTCTCAAAATTCTTCATTCTCTCTATGTATATCTCTTTCAACTTAATTTTCTCGTGCTGTGGTGGTGGGGTAAGGCGAGATGAGGAAGATAAAAAAAGGTGGCAATGGTGGTGACATTGGAATGAGTAGGCTAAGAAAGATGAATGGATGCAATGACGGTAATTGTGGAGTGGGCTAAGGGAGGTGAAAGGAGAGACAATGGTTGTAGGATGGGCGAACAAGATGAGATGGGTAAAAAACAAAAAAAGTATAGTAGAGTCAGTGGCGAAGATAGAAAACTAAAACAGAAGGGGCATTTATTAATTAAAACTTTAATTTTTTTTCCATAACCAATAATAAGAAGATAATAATATTTTTGAATTAATATTAAGTACAAAAACTTATATATATTATTACAAAAATATTTCACATAAAATTTTACAATTAATTTCGAGTAAAGTCGAAAAGAAAGTATTATGTATAACTGGTATATCACGGACAATGTAAAAAAGTCATATATTTAAGTCTTAAAATAAATTATATAATGGTAAGATAAATTAAATTTTTACAAAATTTGAGTAAAAATTTCTTATAATAGTGATATTACATCATCATTGATATATGATATAGTAAAGTAATATATGAACGGTAAGCTCCACATGTAAATATAACTAATACTCTAGTAACTTTTACATATATATAATTAGATTAATTATATTTACATATCAATAATGATTTATATTACTTTTATATTGAGATTTTTTTATAAAATTTTCATATATAAAAATATAATTTGTTGTAGTCTTTCATTTTCAATAAAACAATCACTATTGTTCTCATAAATTTAAAAATGACATTGTCATTTTATTCTAAATATTATTTTTATTTAAGATTTTATTTATATACATACGTTAAAAAAAATGTAAATCCAAAATCCAAGGAGCACATGACCCTCTCTGCCTCCACGTAGCTCCGCCAGTAGGTAGAGTAAAAAAAGTGAAGAGATGGCAGTGATGTCCACGATCATGTGATAGTTGTGGTGGCAAAACAATAAGTGATGTGTTTGATAGTTGTAGTAGTAATGAGTTGTTAAATTGGTTGGTAACTATGGATATTTTAGGTTTTTACATTAACTTATAAGAGAATGAGAAGAGGTAATTGTAAATTGCGATTTTGGCAATTGGAGATAATGTTGGCTATCGAAAGTAAAGAAAATGGTTAGTTTTGGGTAGTAAGAGGAAGCAAAAGATGAAGAGAGGAATCAAAAGGAAAAAATAAGACTAATCAATTAAATTTAAATTTCATGTTGTAAAATCATAATTTTAAGAGTGAGAATATTAGATAAATTTTAAATTTCTATTAGACTTCTTGTTATGCAAGCTCTATTATGGGAAGTCAATATATGCCTAGTTTAACAATATGTTATTTTAATAATTTTTTAATTTTTTATAAAAGATATAAAAAAATAAAGAGAATAATGTGATAATTTATAATGCCTTTTTAACTAGGGTTTGTAGTGTCTTAAATAAGTGTACTTTTTATCTTTTTAGACTAAAAAATTGAGAAAAAAAACATAAATGTTTCGGTTAACTTTTTAACTTTTTATGGAAAAATGTATATTAAAAAATTGTATAAATTAGTGTGTAGGAAAAAATTAAGATTGGGAGTTGTGCAGCCGCAATTTTTGACTTTTGGTGAATAGTGATAACTTTTTGAATAATTTTTTGACTTTTTAATTTTTTTTTATGTTGTCAAACTTGGCCTAAAATATATAATTCCCAAACAAAGTCATAATTTCATTAAACTAAACAGCAATGATTCATACCACTAATTTTGGTGCTCTAATAGAACACTAATGACATGGCAATGAACAAAAAAATAAAAATAAAAATAAACCAAGACCAAAACATCACATCACTGTGAGTGGAGCCCACTGCCAACTCGTTAGAGCTACCTTTAGAGCTCAAAAATTAGAGCTCCAAAACATTTTTCTTAAACTAAAAGAGGTGCTGTAATAAATCAATTACTTTGAAAAGAAGCCCAAATAATTTATCCTGCTTTTTTATTTAGTAAAAAAACAAAATACAAAAATAAAGGGAAGAATAAAATAATAATGGTCCAGACAAGCTCAAGCTCCCAAAAGATACTAACGTGATTAAACAAAGATTATTAATCGGGATCGTCAAAAGACATTAAAATATTTTTTACGTATTAAAATAATGTGGCGGACATTGGGCAATATATATAACCCCGGGAACACAAACTGTTAAATGGCAGAACGTTAACGCCGTTAACTCCGCCGCATTGACGTCATCCAAACGCCGTTTCTTCATAACGGGAAAACCCAACGCTAAAAAAAGAAACAATAATATGAAATCCAAAACTTCTGCAGAGAACTCTGTATTACAGCCGCATTTTTTGTTCAAATTTTGGCCAGGGGAAGACCACGCGGACGTCCTTAGGGACTACCGCCCGGACGTCCATGGGGACATCCACCTGGATGTCCTCTGCTGTACAGGAAATTTATTTTTTTTTTTTTTTTGCAATTGATTTATATAATTGGAAAAAAAAATTTCTGAAATTTTTTTAATTTTTAATGTGCTTTAAAATAATTTTGAGTTGTATATTTAGTTATGAGTTGTAAATTTTTGTATCACATATCAAATATCACATCAACAATTCCCCACTCAAATCAAACATCTTTTCCAAAACTATTTTCAAAACTCTTTACCAAACAAATTTTCTACACTCAAATCATAATTTTACAATACACAAATTCAAAATACAATTCATACTCTCAAATCACATTTACAAAACACAACCAAACGCAACCATAGATGTTTGGGTTAACTTTTTAACTTTTTATGGAAAAATGTGTATTAAAAAATTATATAAATTAGTGTATAGGAAAAAATTAAGATTGAGGGTTGTGCAACTGCAATTTTTGACTTTTGGTGAATAGTGATAACTTTTTAACTTTTTGAATAATTTTTTGACTTTTTAATTTTTTTTTATGTTGTCAAACTTGGCCTAAAATATATAATTCCCAAACAAAGCCATAATTTCATTAAACTAAAAGAGGTGCTGTAATAAATCAATTACTTTGAAAAGAAGCCCAAATAATTTATCCTGCTTTTTTATTTAGTAAAAAAACAAAATACAAAAATAAAGGGAAGAATAAAATAATAATGGTCCAGACAAGCTCAAGCTCCCAAAAGATACTAACGTGATTAAACAAAGATTATTAATCGGGATCGTCAAAAGACATTAAAATATTTTTTACGTATTAAAATAATGTGGCGGACATTGGGCAATATATATAACCCCGGGAACACAAACTGTTAAATGGCAGAACGTTAACGCCGTTAACTCCGCCGCATTGACGTCATCCAAACGCCGTTTCTTCATAACGGGAAAACCCAACGCTAAAAAAAGAAACAATAATATGAAATCCAAACTCACTATTTAAATTTAAGAATATGTAAGTGATATAATTGATTAATAATTAAAAAAATTATAATATTATTTTTAATATTTTAATTGATTATTACATCGTTAAATTTAAAAATTAAAATAAATTTTTTACTTTAAATAGCAATACTCAGAAAGAAAATTCGAATAAACGAAACCGAAAGTCTGTATAAAAAGATCTCTCGGCCGGCACACCCACAGAGCGATAGAGAGAGAGAGAGAGTCACAGAGAGTCCAATCTCATCGTTCGCTGCGGTGTTCGTTTTCATATATATATATATATGCGCAAATATCTAGAGAGAGAGAAACTGTGAGAAATTGGAGGAAATTGTGCAACATTTGGTTCTGTGAGAAGCAGTAGATCCCACTGGACCTACCTACCGTGTATGTGGATCGCTTCCTTTTGTTTTGTTTTTTTTAACTTTGGAATTCAAGTTTTCTGAGGTGTTTGAGAGCTGAATTGTGAAAAAGTTGGTCGAAATTCAGATCAAAGGTATTAAGCTTTTAGATCGCTCTCTCTTTTTTTTAATTATATGCATCTTAGAATTTTTGTTTCTGAGATTTTTATGTGAAGCTTGAGTTGAATTATGGATTTGAATTTTATATCTATGTATAATTTGATATGTTCAATATTTTTTGAAAATTTTGCTGAAATCTGAGTTTACGAAGTTGTATTGTAGGTGATAATTCTGCAAGCAGAGAAGATTTTCTAGCTGAATTGCTCGTGTTCGGATTTTCTCGGAAATCACGGGGATTAAATTTTAATTTTCTCGGGAACATTGATAAACACCTGCATGAATCCACAATTCGGCTCCGTAACTGAAGAATCTGAAGTGAATTGGGAAAAGAATTTCGGTTTTTGGATAGAGAGAGAGTGAATGCGCCTCCGATCTTCAGTCGGAGGCTGAAACTTCTCTCAGAAGCTTCCTCTTTCCTTCTTCATATCGCGGATCTGAGCAACATCGGAGTAATTTGATTCTAGAAACCTGATAATTTTCGTTTTTGAATTCTGAAATTCAAAGCTTGGATTGGAGGTGCCGATTCTCTGGAGTCCTGTTTTCCGAGAATTCAAACGGCTTTGTAGGAAAATTTCCATCTGCGGATGGAGCTTCCTCAACCCCGTCCCTTTGGAGCCGAAGGTAATTCACAGACACATAACGATATATACAGTTCAGATTAGAAAAGATACAAAGGAAAATTTGTCACATGTCTGTTTGAGCTGGTTGCCTTTTTTTCTTTTCTTTTCTTTTGCAGGAAGAAAATCAACACACGACTTTCTTTCACTGTATTCACCTGTCCAAGATCCAAAACCTTCTCAAGGTAAACACGATTTTTATTTATTCATTTTAGATTTGCCAAGAAAAAAAAGTAGAAAGCAATTTGTTGATTTTTGTGTTCGGAAATGATTTGCAAATAGATAGTTTTTTTTTTTTTTTTTTGGTGTGTTTAATTTTTTTTTGGTGTCAATCATATTTTGGAAATTATGAGAATAATTATGAGTGTTTTAATTAAAAATAAAAAAATTACAAAAGAAATCACACAAATCTATATGAAAATTGTGGGCAAAATTTTTGCTTGTATATTATTCTTTACTTGTGTTCGTTTGCGTGTGTGCATGTGCTTTGTTTTTTTAGAAAAATATTATGCAATTTAAAAAGCATTTTAAAATGAAACATGTAAATCAAATCAATTTTAAATGTGACTCACATCATATTAAATTTAAATTTAAATTGTATATTTTATTTTTTTAATATACTTTTTGTGGGTGTGTAGTTTTTTTTTGGGGTGGGGATAAATTATCATTATATCCTATTTTTGGAATTTATTTTTCATTAAGTCATATTAATAAATTTATGATAAATTTATCAGTCTTTCTTATTTTTATAAATAAATAATGATAAATTTATCAGTTAAGACCTATTGGTAAATAAGTGTAATTAATAAAATTGATTAGTAAGTTCTCTTTTTTTGGGGATAGATCTGAGTTGTGAGCTATGAGAAATGAGGATTTTGTATAAGAAAATTTAGATTAAAAAAATGCTACAAGTATACAACAATATTATTTTTGTAAATAAAATTAATTTTCTATACTACTTTTATTTTAAAGTAAAAAATTCACATTAACTCATTATTATGTATGAAAATGTGATATAAATTTTTTTTATTCTTTTATCATTACTATTTTGTATATAACAAGACTTATCATAGAAAGAATTCAAACTTCCAATTGGTTGTATGCATGTGCTGTTTTAATGGTCTTTTGAGTTTGAGTTCGATTTTAATTTTGTGATGTATATTTGGAAGGTGTGGAAAATATCTACACCAACGAGATGAGTTTTTTGGGTTTGTGTTGCCAAATGTAAATGTTGGTATTGGAATTGGTATATGAAAACGTAGGCTTATACCCGTGACCCCATTTGAATCATATGGATCTGGGCCATGTGTTTGGGTGGGCCATGACTTGGATAGGCTGACATCGCCAAATCCAAAAAGGGTGGGGGTTGGGGTTTAGGCATCAGGGGAGTGGAGTGGAGTGGGACTCAGTCATTAAGATATTATTTAAATTTTTTATTAAATTTAAATTTGATGAAAATATATATATTTTTTATTTTAACAGTTACATTAAATAAGTATCAAATTGAAATTTTCATTTTTCTTTTATCAAATTAAAGATTAATATTTCTTTCAACAAATCATTATTTATTATTGTTATCGGATGTCCTTCTAGTTGTCTCCCAAATGACCGTAAGACAAAAATTTATAAAAAATTTATACTGGCTTGTTGATTGGCCGATTATTCGTTCAATCGACAGGTGATTTGATAAAAAGTCAAAACTCTCCGTTGCAATACTTGATATCAAATTTTTTTTTACTCACATTTAGTAAAAAAATTAATGTATAGTTGGAGATCCTCTAAAACACAGCAGTGACATAATTAATAACAATAATGCTAGAGGGTCACAATTTTTATGGCCACAATAGCTCAAAACTATCAAAAACGACGTCATTTTAGATGTAAAATATGCCAAAACGACGTCATTTTGACAATTTTAAATCATTATAACCATAAAAATTGTGACTCTTAAATATTTTTCAATTAATAAACGTCGTAATCATTATCATGATCACCATCAGCAGAAGGCCCTATGCAGGGGCATGGTATTCAGACTTATCAAAAAGCAATAGTTCATGTTACTGTAGAGGCACGCGATGCATGAGATAATTTAGTGCAGAGTACCTGTTGTTCCTCTGCTGTGATCTGCTTTGGAAAGAGAGAGAAAGAGGTTAGGGTTGGGTTTTGCTTCGGAAAGAGAGAAACGTAGGGACGTATCCCAGTGTTTCGGAATGGTGTGAGCATTGAAACGTATTCCAAAGATCCACTGTTCCTGTCAGTCCAAATTTAGCAATTTTTTAGCAATTTTGTAAGTAATAAAAATATACTTTTTTTTTATTTTTATTTTTTTAAGGAAAATTTGTTTACTTCTGTTTTCAAAGGGACCTAGCTTCTGTTAAAAAGTTTTAAAGACTTTTATGACAAAATAAATTTTTAATTTTATTAATTTAAATTTTGAACATTTGATTTATTTTTAATTTGAATTACTTGTCTATTTTCATTAACAAAAAAAGAGAATGGGTATTTTCATTAAACTTAATGAAAATGAATATTTTAGACATTTTATAATACTATTGTTTCGTTGGTTGAAGTTAACAAAAATAAGCAAATGATTTTGATTAAAAAAAACAAAAAAAACATGATTCAAATTGATAAAAGTAAGAACTTAAGATTTATTTTGTTAGAATAGTCTATAGTGGTTTTTTTTTTTTTTTAATCACATTGTCCTGGAAGAAAGATTTTGTTGGTTATTGATTTATCTGAAAATCCTCTTCAAATGATTTTTCTTAAATTATTGGATTTTTTTTTTTCCAAAATATTAAGATTCACTTTTAAGTCATTTTTTTTTTGAGCTAATTCTTATTAGGTTTGAAAACGGATAAACTTTACAAAAAAAATGTTTTGATATGATCGGAACAGTATGTGTGGTTGATAATAATTACAGTAACGTTATGTTTGATTAGGAAATTTAAGAAGGGATTTAAAAAATATATATATATATATATGTGTGAAATTATATAAAATGTATATATATTTTATTTACATTTCACTTATTTTTTCATTTTTTCTTTTCCCTTTCTAAATCATTTTCCAAATCACTTAATCAAATACAAGTAGTTTTGGTGTACTAACATATTGTCTGTATGGTACTATATATTGAATTGAAGAATAGAAAAAAATATAAAATTACGTTTAGATCATATATTGTTTGTGGTAGTCTTAAATTTTGTTTACATGTCTCTCACATTTGTAATTTTTAATTTTTATTTAAATTTATACTTTAAACACAATCTACGTAAGACCTTTATTATATCTCACTTGCGTAACAAAGATGTGTCAAAGCATTGTCTCGCTCAATATTTTTTAGTGCACCATGTGAACCACGTAGTGGTCTGATCGTCTAATTTTCCATTTTTTCCCCTTCCACCTTCATCTATATAAGCAGGGGGTTACCTTAAAACTCATGACTTCCTGCAACCACTGGAAAGGTTAGGGAAAAACATTGCCAAGGAAGAAAATACAGTTGAGATCACTAAATTGGAGAAGCCTCTGCTGCCAGCTCCTCCTCCTCCTTCTTCAGGAGGCGAACACCTCCTCCCTGGTGGGATCGGGACTTACAGCATCAGTCACATTTCTTATTTTAATCAAAGGTTTCTCAAGCCAGAAGCTCCTACCATACTTACAGTGGCTGAGGCAAGTAGTACAGATCGAAACAACGATGAGAACTCCAACTGCAGTTCTTACACGGGAAGTGGGTTCACACTGTGGGAAGAATCTGTGGCTGCAGCTGTGACGAAGAAGGGAAAGACAGGGAAGGAGAATATTACTGGAGACAGACATGTTCCCAGAGGTAAAGTTTTAATATTAGTCTTCTTGTAATTGGCTTCTTCTTGAATCTTGATCATTTTATAACCCTGAAAGTCAAAATGATTCACCAACGCAAGAGCATGATTAATAACAACTGAATTCTCGAGAGGGAGAGTTTAAAATGTCTCATGGAAAATGGAGTAAGCGGTTGCGGTCGCCGTAATGGTGACGGTGGCACGGTTGCGGTTGCGGTTGCGGGGTGTAAAGGCCGTAGCATAACGGTTACGGTAATCAGAACCGTGAATTTTTTTATTTTTTGCACAATTTAAAAAAAACTTACCAATACGCATATTTTTTTTCCATGATCATATTTATTGGGTTTTAAATAAATATTGATCAATTTTTGTAAATTTTTAAGTATGATCCAATATATTTCATATTTTTAAATCACTATAAACTGAGTTTTTTATATTTTATTTTAATAATTAATGTCTTTATATTATATAAAAAATCAAGCACTAACTATTATATATAAGATAAATAATGACAAAAGTAAGATAATGAATAAGAATCTAAATATATATATACATATTTTAACCAAGTCAAATAAATAATGACCACACTTACTATTATTATCAAACAATATATAGATAGACACATACAAACAAAATAGTTGAGTGATAGTAGCTAAATAGAATAGTATAGGTATTACAGTTTCAACAAATCAATAATATGTTCTTCATCTTCCTTCTTTCTCTCTATCTCTTGCTCCTCCATCTTCTCTCTTTATCTTCCCTCTTCTCTCTATCCCTCTTCTCCCATTTTCAATTTTTTTTTTTGTGTTTTTTCAAAAGAAGTAATTCGGAACCGTTACGTAATGGTGCGTACGTAACAGGCCATTACAGCTGTTAAGATACCATTATAACCGCTACGGCAGCCGCTACGATCGCCACATTTGTGAATCTCAATTACACTGCAAAAGCGGCCATAACGTGTAGTGGTAACTACCACAACCGTTACGCAACAGCGTTACGTAACAGTTGCGACCGCTTTTTAATATCGTGCCTTTAATATTTTTCCTTGTGGACATCTTTTTACGTGCATGTAGGTTATTTACCTCAATGAATTTCAATATATATATTTCTAGGCGATCTCAAAATAACGAGTCAAAAGTTCAAATAGTCACGTTCTTTATAAAGCATATAAGCTTATGGAACTATGTAATAGTTTGTTTAAGTTTAGCTCCAAAAATTTATGAGTGTGTTTAGTTTCAATTTTTTAAAAATTGAGTATTTTGTTTTTTTTTTTTAATGAATAGTTTTAAAATTTAAAGTAATTTTTTTTTAGATGCACTTTACTTAAATATATTTAAAAAGTAAAATATTTATATATTTAAAAAAATCAATAAATATACAAGAATACGAAAAATATATTAAATTTTTGTATTTTTTTAATATATTTTTTGTATTTAATGAATTTTCTAAAGATTTTTTCACAAATATTATATTTTTAAGTATATTTATGTTAGGTGTATCTAAAAATTAAAAAACATTACTTAGAATATTAAAAAATTTCAATAAAAATAAAAAAAATCAAAAAACAAAAAATTTCAATTTTCTAAAATGTGAATTCTAAAATCCAAACCAAACAAGCTGAATACGTTGTAACTGCACTCAAGTTTGACCTAACGAGTTATCTTGATTGAATTTTAAACAACTTGATTAAGGCCTATTTTGGGAACTTAGATATAAACTGCTTTTTGACTTATATCCAAGTTTTTGTTTGACTTATTTACAAAATCACTTGGCAAGATGAAAAAAAAAAGTTATTTTTTTGGCTTTTTTTAATATTATTAGTTTATGGTGTTACATTATTAGGCGAATAGATAAATTGATCATATTATCCCATGCAATTTTGTGAAATTATAATTTTACCATTACAATATGGTATTTTGATGTCACATTAAAGGAGGGTATTTTGGTAATTTTAAAAGTGGACTTATTTTCAACTTCCAAATAATTTTTTGCTCAAAAAACTTGCTTTTTGCTTTTTAGAAAAAGGCCAAAAAATATCTTATATCCTTATTCTCAAAATAGGCCTAAGATTTGATCTAGAATAGTTTGATTTATTTTTCCGTCCTACTTTGACTTTTTATGAAAAATATAAAATATAAGTTAAGTTTAAAGTGATAATATAAATAAATGATATCATCCAAATGAAATGATTGTGACTTAAATACGATAATATACTGAAATAGTATGTATTATTTTAGCACATGCCAAACAGTGTTTCATTTGGGAACAGATTATTTTAATAATTTTCAATTAACTTAGACCTCGTTTGGGAATAAACTATTTTAATAATTTTTTAGTTTTTTGCAAAACAATGTACAGAAAAATAGAGAATGATGTGATAATTTATAGTAATTTTTTTTTATTTTTTAACTAAAATGTATAATTGACAAACGAGAATTTATTTATTTAAAAGAAATGTTAAGTGAACACAAGCAGATTTCCTGAGCAGACGGGGCCACATTTAAAGTATATTTCAATATGAATTTTTCTTGTTTTTAATTCTGTGCATTTAATATTAGTGTTATATTATTTAAAAAAAAATTAATATTGGTTCTTTAAAATTTTTAATTTGTTTCGACTAAAATTGGGAAATTTTAATTTTAATTTTAATTTTTTTAATATTTGGCTCTACCAAACAAAAACCTTCTTGACTCCACGTTTGAGCGTAAAAATTCAATTTATTAGTGATTTGACCTTATTATTGATACTTAATAAGGTAATTGACCAATAAATCTTGTTTTGTAAACTTGTAATTCATAAGATTCTAAATATTTTTTTGGTGACTGAATAGTCCCTTAAATTATTTATTGATTTTTTTGCCATTATTAGTACGCATAATGCTTTGTAGCTCGAAATCGAGCGGCTCCAATAGCCCGAAAAATCTGAGTTATATTCTCTCTCCAAACCAAACCATTCCGCTGAAATCCTCTCATCCCTCTCATCTTTCATAAATCTCCCTCTCTGAGCTCTGTTAAGCCTCCCTCTCTACTCATATAGTAACGAAGCCGAACGACAAGCGACGACGAACAGATGAACAAGAAGTTTAATTTTCTGAACAACAGATGAACAACAAGTTTAATTTTCTAAACAACAGATGAACAATAAGTCCAATTTTTTGGACAACAGTTGAACAAGTTCAGCATTTTTTGTTCTTTGAAATTAGTTTATCTTCTTTGATTGATATTATGGAAATTTCAAACACGAAGAATGAAATTAGTTCATCTTGTTGATTGCAACAAAGCATGAATTTCAGAACATGAACTTAGTATATAAATTTTCCAAAACAATCCAATCTGAAACCAAATTTCAATCACATGAAATTAGTATATAAATTTTCCAAAACACCCAATCTGTAACCAATTTTCAATCACGTAAAATTAGTATATAAATTTTCCAAGACACCTCTGAAACCAAATTTCAATCACATGAAATTAGTATCTAAATTTTCAAAACACCCAATCTGAAACCAAATTTCTATCACCCAATCTGAAACCCTAAATAAAAAATAAAACCAACTAAAAATCAATCCAATAGTTGCAATCACACCCACCAGCAGCAGCACCGGCAGCAGCCTTGCGCCACACATAGCAGCAGCGGTAGCGGACGCCTCCCGGTCATCGTTACCCAGTCGATGCTCTTCTCCTCTCACTGTTTAGAGGTTAGTCAGTCTCCTCTCACTCAGTTAGGTTTTATTTCTTGGCAATCCCGTTTGGCAAAACTCTTTTGAGTTGTAATTTTATTTGCATTTTTATTTCAGTGAGGCTATGAGTTGTTTAGATGCGAATTCAACCTGAATTGTGCCTTTCAGAGAAGTTTGTGATGCTAATGTTTTAAAGATTGCCACTTCGCTGATTATGAAGGGGATCGAGCTGCCCGGTCAGCTCGCGGGGTCTAGGGAGCAGCGCCCCTTGGCGGGTCCGGGGCAGCGCCCAGGCAAGGTCGAGGGGCAGCGCCCCCAAAGCAAAATGCAAAAATACATTCCAAGTTGCCTGTCCGCTCGAGCAGACATTACCCCGCTTGAGCGGAGAATCCTTAGTTCCAGCAGTTTTGGTCGCCTAAAAAAGTACTAAGATGTGTGATTTCGCGCTCGAGCGGGTTCTCTAGCGCTCAAGCGGACCTCTGTTATATCATGCGCATATTTTGCTGAAGCCGCTCGAGCGGGTTGTTGGGCGCTCGAACGGACCGCACGAACACAGTTTTCCGGATTTCAATAAGGATTGGGTTTTCCTTCAAATCTAGGATTACTTTTGGTTTTCTGTAAGTAGTTGGTTTTCTCCCAAAACTAGACTACTCTTCAAGTCCTCCAGATCTTCTTTTTGGATTCTAAGGTTTATATCTGGGGATATTTTGCTAGTTTTCTTTGATGTTTTGATTGAGTATTCAACTCATGATTTAAAGAGTATACATCAAAGGATTATTTGTTTGTTCTACATAAAAGAGAGAGTTGTTCTTCGGTGGATTTTGAAGAATTCGAGCATGAAGCTTTGGTGGATTCCGGAGTGGCTCATCGTCAAGACAATTCTGAGATGAAGACGGGGTTGGAAGAGACACATAGAGGTTGGTTCAATTTGGGCGTGGATTTGCTAGGTGATTGAGAATATACATGTATAATTCCTTTATATATTCTTAGTGGATTGTTTTGTGGCTGTTGCCCGTGGTTTTTTATCACAATTGGAGGTGTCCAATTGTGATTTTTTCACGTAAAATCATTGTGTCGATTTGTCTTGATTGTTTGATTGGGATTGTTGTTTACTGCTTAAAATTGATACATAATCACAAATCAACATCTACGAGATTTCTAGATTTTTCACACTCTTTAGAGGTTAGTCATCGTCTCCGTCTCCTTTCTCTCTACGCTCTGCTCTCTCTTTTTTTTCCTCTCCAAATGAAAGGTGTGGCTGAGTTGGGCATTACAGCATTATACGAGATGTGGGTGCACAAAGAATTAGAGGTGTACAAAAAAATTAGGCCATTCGAGCCGTTGAAGTTTCGAGCTACAAAGCGGTACTGTATTAGTACAGTTGGGGGACATGTGACGTGGTTATGTGTGAGGAATGTGGTGGGATATATTTGTGTCATGTTGTTCGAAAAGCGCACTAGTAGCTTTTTAAAGTTTGGTTGTTTTTAGCACGCGCAAGACGTGAATTCCTTAGTAATTATTTTTTGGCGCGTGACGTGAAGACATGCAGTAATTCAATCAAATTGGCTCCGCCACGTTGAAGCGTCACATGTCACATTTAAAAAAAGTACACCAAGGAATTTTTAATTTTTTTAGAGTGTCACAATATACTCGTCACGTTATCACATTTGAAAAAAAGTATAGTTTTTATTTTTTTTTGAAGTGTCACATCATACCTACCATGTTGTCACATTTGGAAAAAAAGTATACTAAGGATAAGTAAAAATTTTAGAATGTCACATCATGCCTGTCACGTTGTCACCTTTAGAAAAAGTACACTAAAGAATTGTTAATTTTTTTAGAGTGTCACATTAATACTTGTCACATTTGGAATATCACACCATATTTGTCACACATTCCAAAAAAAAAAAAAAAACTTTCCCAATTAACTAGTGAGGATATATCTGCTTAACTAAGAGCATCCACAATGGAGCTGTTAAGGAACGTGTTAGTGTCAGTTACTAATATTTTAACTATTGAATGCTCAAATGATGCTCCAATGGAGCTGTTAAGGGATGTGTTAGTGTCAGTTAATAGTGTCAGTTGTTAGTTTGTTTGTTAATTGCAACAAGACTTCTAGCCAGCGAAGGAGAGAGCTGCTAATTTATTTTTTGGTCTTACAGGTTGACCGGTCAACGGCAATTTTTTTTTTTTTTAACTTGTTGGGATTTTTTTTTTGACTTAAAATTTAATTTTGGGCTTGAAATTTTTTATTAAACTAAATTATTTATTTATTTTATTTATTATACACACACACACACATATATATATATATATATATATATTTAACACACTCTTTAACGCTTCCATTGCACCACCACTCACTCTCTAAAATTAACAAACTCTTAACACATCTTAACAAACATTTTTGGGCCCTACTTTTATTACTTTTTGTCATATAACACACCTTAATACACTTTTTCAGTCATCCCATTGTGGATGCCCTAATACCTATTCACGTTTGAAAAATGACTTGTTGGTCACACACTATACCTAAGGGAAATGTTTGGGACCCCCTTTGGGGATGACTCCCATACCCCCAAAGTGATCCTAACTCTCTATGTATGTGTGGGGTCCACATCATGAGTGAGGTCAACATTATGAGTGGTTCAGATTTGTAAGAGTCTTGTGGAGGTGGAGGTGGAGGTGGGGGTGAGGGTGGGGGTCTCAATCACCACTCCTACACCTAATAAGGACTCCTCAATCACCTATTTAAAACGTGGGACCAAATGGTACAGAAGTTTCTAAAATAGGATTTTCCAATAAATTTACTATTTAAATGTAACTATCATCATCTAATAATAAAATATCATATAAAATTAATAAAATTTACTGTTTAAATGTAACCATCATTGTTAACTTGATCATTAGATTGAAAATTTTCTTCCATCTGAGGGGTTTGGAGGTTTTCTTTGTTTAAAGATCAGTCGGAAATTCTAGGATATATGCACACCTTTTGAAAAAAAAAGTATTATATGCACTTTTATTTATGTTATTTTTTTTTAATTATGATTAATTTTTTGCTTTAGTTATGATAATTTTTTTTTATTAATTATGACTCAATAAATATAAAATTAGGTCATTTTTTTCTTTAGTTATAAATTATATATGGTACACGTGTAACATTTTCCTTTGATTTAATGGAGAATGACATAACTTGATAGGTTTATAACCTAGTATATCATTCTTCTCATGTTACATATTGAGTAGGTTATAACCTACTCAATAAATGAATGACATAACATTCATTTTCTCAGTCCAGGCAAAACAAAAGAAACAATTTGACTTATTTAAAAAATATATATTTTCCTTCAACCCAGATTAGGGAAGAGACAAAAGACTCTCATTTGGAAGATGTACCCTACAGAAATAATTACTTATAAGCAAAAGAAAAAATTTGACTTATTTAAAAAAATATATATTTCCTTCAGCCCGGATTAAAGGGGAAGAGACAAAAGACTCTCATTTGGAAGATGTACCCTACAGAAATAATTACTTATAGTATATAAAAAAAAAATTATGATTTTAATAATTAAAATTTATAAACTTTCATCATTATTTTGAAAAAAAAAATTGATAGTTTAGCCTATTTTGATAAATATATATATATATATATATATAAATTTACTAAAACATGAGGTAGAATTGCATTTGATTACCTACTTTTGAAAAATGCAGGGAAATTTTACAGTACACCCTTTTGAAAAGATAATATCATATGTATTTTTAATTATGTTATTTTTTTAATTATGATTATTTTTTTAATTATGATATTATTCTAAGATATTTAGTTATGACTTTCTTATGTTTGGTTATGATTTTTTTTTTTTTAATTCATAAAGTATGAAATTATATAATTTTCTTCTATAATTACACGATGCATATAGTACACACTCTTTGAGGGGTATGTAGTTATCTTCTTCCTTAATTACTCTTTCTATTATTAGGTTTTTTTTTTTTTTTTTGCCAGGTTATACCTTTTATATATATATATATATATATGAATAATGTTATATATACTAAATAGTGTATTAACTAGTACACCAATTAATGATGTGGCGTAATTTAAGAAATTTTTGAGATTTGTAATGTAATTAATGAGTAGGGTCAATAATAGTGTCATAACTAGTGTTGGTATATTAGTTAATATATTAATTGGTGCATGTTACACCACCGTGTATATATATATACATATATGAGAGTTTGTGTTATACTGTTTAGTGTAATTTTTATTTATAACTTATTAAATAAAAATAATTTAAAAAAATTAATTTTTCAAAAACTGAGTAAAGAATATTTTAAAACTTAAACACCCGCAGTCTTTCCCTGGAAATACCTTGGATAGCCTACTGACATTTTTTCCCGGTGATATGAATATTGCAGAAACAGGGGTTAAGATGGGCGGACGACAAGGAGGCCAATGGACGACGTCGTCAGAGCGGCCATCACAGTCATCTTCCAACAACACCACCACCACCACCAACCACCGCAACCCCACCACCATCTTCAGTTCACAGTCAGTCACTTTTTCTTTCCTTGTCTAACCCTTTTATTTCAATTTTCACAATTGCAAACTGATTTTTACAGGCCACAGAAGAATCAGAGTTTCATGGATATGTTAAAATCTGCTAAGGGTGCCCACGATGAGGACGATGACGATGACGATGAGTTTGTTCTCAAGAAAGAACCCTCTCCCCACCTCAAAAGTATCTCTCTCTCTCTCTCTCTCTCTCTCTCTCTGATATATACAATTATTGTTTCTTTTCTCCCCTGTTTTGATATTGCAGGAACTAAAGACTTAATATTTTTAACAGATGATTTGACAGTAACAGTGGCAGCTGAGGGTGGGAAGAGCACTGATCACAAGCCTAACACCCCACGATCAAAGCACTCTGCAACCGAGCAGCGTCGGAGGAGCAAAATCAATGACAGGCATGTTCAACCAAATCCCATTTCAATATCACGTATTGTATTTATAAAATTGTTTAGACTTAACGAGACACGGGTTGTATTAATTAGTGTGTTTGTTTAAGATGGGTTTAATATTTTCTTGTAAGAGGTTGGGTAATATTTTTGCGTGAAGAAGAATGATTCATGTAGTCGACCCATTTGATGGGACTTAAGGTTTGGTTTGGTTTGGTTTGGTTTATATGATACATAGGACTGTCCAATTTGGGCATGGAAGGGCTGCCTCTGCTACAAGATTGAATAATTGGTTTGTTATGAGATCTAGTGTCGGTGGGACTTTCCATCTCATATTTTCTTTTTTTGTGAATGAAAATAATTGCATGTGTATTATATGAGATTTTGGACTACTATCTGTATTTACATTGTAATGTACGTAAATTTAATTGACAAAATGTGGCATCAGTTGGCTGCAATTAGAATAGTTCTCCTTAATAAATTATTGTTGATCAAAAAAAAGAATGTAGAAATATTAAAAGTTATCATTGTTGTTAAATTCTAGAATGTCGGTCATTTGAATGAATTATTGGAGCTTGTCCCTTAACTTCAACTCCTTAATGAATGTTCCAATGGGCAAAGCAAATAAAGAAACACATAATTTAGTATCTTTAGTTGCTAGTGGATCTGTTTTAGTTACTTGTCATGTGTTGTAATGCAGTTATGCCTTCAACATGCTGCAAACTCAAAACTCTTTATTTCTTTCTTTCTTTCAAAGAGAATGAAGATAAATATTTGAATGAGTAAACAAATTATAAAATTTTTCTGTGATGGGAGATTGGTAGTTGCCATTGTCTCAAGATATTGAAATTTGAAAGTTGTGATGCAGATTTCAGATGTTGAGAGAGCTCATCCCTCACAGTGACCAAAAGAGAGATAAAGCATCATTCTTACTAGAGGTACACAGATACCTTAAGATGTTATTTCTCCAGTTCTTCTCTTATAATGAAATAATCTTTAAACATAAAAATTTATTGAAGGAGAATTCGAATCCATATGCAGGTTATCGAGTACATTCAGTATTTGCAAGAGAAAGTGCATAAATATGAGGGGTCATACCAGGGATGGAACCAAGAACCACCAAAGTTGATGCCATGGGTAAATACTCTACTAGCGTTTTTTGCATTTTTGCAAATTTCCTTTGGCCTCAGTCTTCGGGAAAGGCAACATAAGCTTGTGTTATCAATTATGTAGCTGAAAGCGAGCAAAAGCCAGCAAAAGCCTTCCTTCTACCAACATGCATCAAATTATTGATATAATGTGCAGGCACGCACATGGCCTGTGATAGTAGATGTTTGGGGCTATGAATTAGACTGAGGAAATGTGGGCTTTATTGCATACATAGTGTGTAAATGTAATGCATAGCTAGTGGAGAACAATCTAGTACGTGTAGGCCATGTTTGTTTAGATAGATTGGATTGTAAGAAGGGATTGTCAAACGTATTAATTTTGTAATTTAAATAATTATTACGAACCTCGTCTTAGTCCTCCATTTTGTATCCTACCCCTCTCTAAGATTCAATAGTACTATGTCCAAATGGACTATTAGTCTAAATCCCAATTTTCCTAGCCAAACATCATATTGTGCATTTTGTTGGATTATTAATCCAATCCTAAGGCCATGTTTGTTCAAACCAACATGGCCGTAGTATCATATGCAAAATGCATATTTTCTGATTAATGACTCTTTGTCGTTTGTTTTAGCAGAGGAACAGTCACCAGCCTGCAGAAGTTTTCATGGATCAATCTCAAGCCACAAATAGTGGCTCTTGCCCAGCATTAATGTTTGCGGCAAAGTTTGATGAGGATAACATCATTGGCTCACCAACCAATCCCAGGAATGGACAGAATGCTGTAGAATCTGACATGAGCACTGTCACTACTGTGAAAGCAATTGATCACCACTCTGGATTAACAAATAAGGCAGTGCCCCTTCCTGTGCCTGTGCAGCCAAATATTTTCACTCCTAGTGGAAGTGGCACCGCAATGGCTCCAATTCCAGCTAGAGTGAAGTCTGATATCGAAAACTTGACATCTCAACCTCAATCCCAATTCTGGCAGGGCAGATCGTGCCCAACCGATTGTGCTGTTGCAAGCAATAAGCTAAAGGAACAGGAACTGACTATTGAAAGTGGTAGAATTAGCATCTCAAGTGTATATTCTCAAGGGTAAGTGTTCGGTTCATTTTTATTTGTTTAATTTGTGCACATTCTTGGGCCAACAATAAAAGAAGGGTATGAAGAAATTATGAGTTCGGTTCGGTTAACTATGACTGTTGTATATGTATTTAGGGTCCAATATGTTTCGTGATCTAAGTAGTGGCTTGAGCAATTAAAAGCGTGCCCTCTTTGTTCTTTTAATTCTTTGGTTCTGAAATCAGTTGTGCTGTGATTGTAGCACTATTGAAATCCTTTTCCCAGGATTGGATCTGAAATTTTGAACTGATAAGTTGGAAATTTGAACAGGTTGCTAAATACTTTGACACAAGCACTGCAGAGTTGTGGAGTAGATTTGTCACAAGCCAGCATCTCGGTTCAAATTGATCTTGGGAAGCGAGCAACTAGTAGATTGCCTGCCTCGACATCCACAGTTAAGGTACTTGGATTTGCTTTTTGAGATCGATTTTTATGTTTGTTGAACTTTAATTGCTAGGCTAATTGTCATCACATAGAACTATGTTAATTTAGAGCAATTTTCTTGTATCAGGATAATGACATTCACTCTAGCAATCCAGCGATGGCACGTTCTAGAGGTGCAACCAGTGGTGAGGAGTCCGATCAAGCCCTAAAGAGGCTCAAGAAAAGCTAGTACGACATTTTAATAATCTTCTTTTTTCTTTCCTAATCTGATTTATTCATTTTTTTGGGATTCCCTTGTTCTTATTGGGTATATTATTGATGTATTTTCCTGGGTATACAAACTATTGAGATAAGAGAGACCAAGAAAGATCCATTGTACATGTAGTGTTTTTCCAGATTGTTAGGATGATGCACAGATTTTCCTGACAACCAAACATGTATTATTTATATTTCATTTGTTTGTCATTTTACTGGTGTAGACGCTTCCATTATGACGTTGAGAAGCTGCTTTTTTCATTCAAGGCTTCCATTAATGTGAAGTTTCCAAGTTCTTCCCAAACATTCTTCTCCTTGTTTGTTGGTATTGTATTTTTATTTTATTTTTTATTTTTAATCTAGTAAAGGGTTGGTGTTACATTCATTATACATAGGATTATTTAATTGTCCATCTCCTTCAACACTCACATTCCAAAAATTACACGATGGTATGTATGCGTTGTTGATGAGCCAAGAAACAAACTTGTTTAATGTAGTAAGAAATACATACCATGGCAGGATGGTTTTATTTTTGTATTGGTGCTTCATCTTTCACAGCTCACTCAGAAACCAACCAGTTAGCCCAGCTTAGTACAAGCTAAAGCCCAGTTTGATTTTTTATTTTTGGGTTTGTTATGGTGTTCAGACTTTTCATGCCGTAAAAGCCTATAGATCTGATCTTTGTCTTCAACATGATCCACCTATTGTTTGGGCCAGGCCTGGTCTCTAGATCTGCAAGCCAGATTCGGCCTGGCTTACAATTTTTAGGGTGGGTAATAGGAGAAGGGAAAGTTAAATCACACAGTAGTAAGACTCAAACATAGATATTTGACGATCAGTAAAAAGAAAATAGAAAAAGAAAAAGTCGTATCATGCAATATTAAGACTCGAACTTAAGCATCATACTTGGTACGGGAGCACCTTATTCATTGGGCGAATCCTTAGTCTTTGGATTACATGCTTGATCAGTGTGGAGTTGTGAATGATGTTTGGGAAAATAAAATAAATAATAATTGGCAAAGTAAGGGTTACTGTCTGCTCCTAAGTCCTCGAGCAATTGGACCAGCCCTAGGTCTCCCCTACCTCCTAGCAAAAGACATCATGGACAACTTATAGATTATAACTTAACAGATTATAAATTATGATCTTAATCAGAAGTTGTTAATCTGTTTGGTGTAACTATTGTATTATAGATTTAAGTTGCTGAGTAGTGTTTGTTAAATAAACTGTAAAACATCTTTTTCAATTAATTTTTATTTTTTGTTATTTACTATTTGTCTATATTTCTCATAAATAATAATAATAATAATAATCTATAGTCCATTTGGATCTTTTTCTATTTTAAAAAAAATAAAAAATAAAAAAATTTAAGAGTATAACCATATATTAATATGTCCACTGCAGAAGCTGATAATCAGAAGCAAGGGGTAAGCAGCTTCTCAGAATCAGCTTTTTTGAGTTACAATAAGCTGTTAGAATCAGAAACTGTTTAAAATAAGTTTAACCAAACAGTTCAAAATAACTTTTTTAAAGCTAAAAGTTATAAGTTATTTTTGAAAAACTGAAACAAACACCCCCAATGCTTAGCTTTTACATGAGAATTCACTCAAAAAGATGTTTGGTCCTTTGTCCAACCATTCTCAATGATATAGTTTAATTTAATTTTTTTTTAAATTAAAATTAAAATTAAATTATATGATTATGATATAATAAAAATTCATATGAGAAATGAAACAAAACATCCTTTTTTCCAAACAGACAATCATGTGTCGAGATCAATCAAGAATAATTAATCTCTCAACCTTCCTAGTGGTAAAATGTAATAACAAAATTAGCAAAATGCTAAGATTTACAGATTAGTTGACTGTTCTTTGTGCTATTATAGACTGTAGTCATGAGGTTATAATAACAATTAATTTAAGCACATAAAAACTATATACTATATAAAATTAATAAAAGTAGGCATGGGATTATTGGGTGAAGGATTGATGTCATTCAACCATATTTAAATGGGATGTTCCCTGATTTCATCAAGGGATTGATGATAACTTAGCACCAAGTCAATTACATTTCTAAGATAAATATAAATAGTAACAACTACAATTTTACTTTACAAGCTAAGCTACATGTATGATTTATCCTCTCACCAAAACATCAGTATCATCATATTCATTTCTTTGAACTAGCCGCCCTTGATAACTACACTGTAAAATAAATATATTACGGGTTAGTTATGTTATTTTATTTTATTTTTTTAATAAAAGTTACGAATGAGCAAAAATAAAAATCATTACGACATATTATAGTGTTATCAAATATTATAATTATGTTACATATATTATATTTAGGGTATATATAGTAATGATGTTTTTAAAATGGTTGAATTTCTTTTAAATTTAAATTTGAATATGTCTATCATATTCAGTTCGTGCGACTCATTATGGGGTTCATGTTGATGATCTCAACCATTTATTTTGTAAGTTCTTTTGTACTTATTATCTATGAAAAAAATTAAGCCAATCAAATAATCGTAACATTTTCGTTTTATTTCATTTATCTAAGAAAAATAAATGAACTATTTTAAAAAATGCATGTCGTTCAACTTTTTAGAAACAAATATAATAAAATGAAAATGTTACAATTATTGAATTGATCAATTTTTTTTTTATTTTTTATAAATGATGTATAAATTAAACTCTACAAAATAAACAATCTGAATCATTAAAACGGGATTCATAATAAACTCCAAAAATCCAAACATAACAATCATATTCAAATTTAAATATGAGAAAACTTAACCTTTTTTAAAAAAGAGAGTGGCTTCTCTCTGATCCATATCGGCCTAGATAATGTCGTGGATCTATTGCAGAATTCACATCAATGATATTATTAACACAAATATGATTTGATTAAGTGACTTTCGATATTCGATTAACATAAATTTATTTTTAAAATAACATATTCAACAAGACTTATACATCAAATAATTCAAATTATCGATATAGATTCAGTGATGAAGCCATCGAAATTCAACAATACCTTTCAATTAATTTCCCACCTAGAAAGAAGCCACTCCATTCAAAAAAGCAACTCCTAACAATTCCCAGCATAGAATAATAGGTCATATGGGGATTGATTAACTATTAATCACTTGGTATTCGAGCGGTGACGTTAGTTTCAACATTTCACCATTATTTTTACTTTAAATGGTGCACCTTTTTAGCAAATGTCTACGCAATATTCCATTTTTTTTGGGGGGGGGGGTCAGGTGATGGGATGGTTCTTAGGAATCGTTTAACCCTAATTGGTGAGTATAATTTAATTGAAAAATAACCTAAGCCTTGTTGTGCACTTGGTAAGGTCTAGGGGTTAAAATCTCATATCTCAAGTTTGAAACTCCTTGAATAAATTTTTAGAGCGTAGTGCAGTTTGTTAGGAAGCTAGCATCAAGTTGTTATTATCACAACACTTGGTGTGAGTTCAATACTCCTCTACTGCGCGAGTCCTGACTTAAGCAAAACTAATCTTAGGAGATCGGAACAAGTTCTCAAATTATAATTTCTGACTCAAAATGTTAACTTGTCTTGGGAGGTCGGGATAAGTTTTCAGGTTATAGTCTCTGACTCATAATGGACAATAGGATACATTAGTGATCTCTGCAAAGAACGTTGCCTTGAACCTATAGGAGAGGAGGAAGATTTTTCTGTAATAAAAAATAAATAAATAAATAAATAAAATGAAAGATTTGTAAATTGGGTTTAGTTAAGGTTAGCTACATTTCTTTATGTTATTTATATCAATAATCAATTTATGAATGAGTGCTCTTAAACTAGTCGGTTTAGTTTTAAAGTTACATGCCTATGACTTTGTTTCTCAAGAAATTCATGCAATCAAAAATCTTGAACCTTTCAATGAGATAGCCTTTTCACCCGCTCAAAATGGGATCTATTTTAAACATATATGCCATGATTCCTCACTTCATTAGTTAATAAAATTAAAATTTATTTAACATTATTTATTAGATGTACTTTCATACATTATATTTAAATATTTTTAAGTTGATTAACAAATACCTTAAAAGTACTCATCAAGAAAATTTAAAAAAATTATAAATACACTCCTGAGATTTGTTTAAAATACAACTTCTCTCATATAATTTTAGAAATTATATCTCGCCTCTTAAAGTTTTAATTTCATAACAAATAGCTATTTTTGTTAATAAATCATCAAGTCAATTAACAGTATATAATGATACATAAATTTATTTCAATTAATAATTTAGCTAATTTTATCATTGTATAGAATAGTAGCTAGAAATTGTATTTTTTCAGTTAATTTCTTAAATAAAAAAAAAATTGGCAAAAGAGTATTTATAATTTTCAAAAATATAGGGATAATTTGTATTTTAAACAAACTTTAAGGGTTTTATTTTTGTAATTTACCCATAAGGTTTTTGTAAATTTATGCTATAAATTGACTGTGATTATCAATGAAAGTGGTGTTAATTATAATTTGAAATGATGATAAAATTGAAGTGGAGTCGCACTACAAGAATTTTCACAGCTAAGTTTTAGTTGCCGAAAGATTTCAGCGTCTAAATTATTCGGTCGCAGAAGTAGTCGTCGAAGAATTGTCGGTAAAGGTAATTAGCGACTAAAATTATTTTAGTTGCCAAATGTACTCAATTTCCGACTAAAATTTTAGTCGCCAAAAGGTTGGACATAAAATTAAATTAGTACATTTTCGGTGACCAAAACTTTGGTCGTCTAAAGTTCCACGTTTTTTGCTACTAAAATTTTAGTCGACAAAGAGTTTTTGTTTTGGCTACTAAATATTTAGTCGCCTAAAGTCTCACATTTTTTGCTACTAAAATTTTAGTCGGCAAAGAGTTTTTGTTTTGGCTACTAAACATTTGGTCGCCTAAAGTCCCACATTTTTTGCTACTAAAATTTTAGTCGGCAAAGAGTTCTTATTTTGGCTACTAGCATCTCCAAGGGAATAATTAAAAAAGGCTTGTTAGGCATTTTAGCCAATGTAATTTTAATTTTGAGCTCCAATGGGCTGGCTATTGGGCTAGTTCCTTTGCCATCCTACTTTTTTGGTGGCTACAATTGAAGAGTCCTAGAGGCTCTCCAAACAAATATAAATGTATATATCTTGGATTTTTATATATTTATGTCTTGGATTTGGGATTTTATAGATGTATATGTGCATGTAGCAATTTTATATGTTCTTTCAATTATATTTGATGAATTACGGAATAACTTATTTTGTATTTTGTATTTTTTTTCTCATTCTACAGGT